GTAAAAAGTTGCACAGTGAACCTCCCTCCAAATGCACACACACACAAACCCCACATTTTACAAGAATGTAGGAGGACCCGGTTGGCTCACTTTTCAGACTTGAAAAATGAGGCATATTAACAAAGCACACTAAATGAATCAGCTGTTTAGGATGATCTACAAGCCAGTTCATTTTCCTGTTATTAAATAACAAACCATGAATCTTGACAAATGAACCCCACTAGTTCGTCATTACTTGAAAAACTCATAACATGCTTGCTTCTGACGGTCACTTCCCTTTCGAAATTAAATTTTAAGATTGACCTTATTTAAATTCTGATAGAGGGAGAGAGCTTGTTAACCTTCATTTTGACTGTGCATTGTTTATCATCATCATTCTTTCCTTCCCCCTTTATAGGGGGCTCACCGGGCTCCTACCGAGTCACCCTGGAGGGCTCACTGCACGGCAGCTCCTTGGGTTTTTATTGGCACCCCGATCATTAAGGGGTGAAGTTCTGTGGCGTGGTGGGTTCTGCACGGCTTCCGGAGTCAGACTCCCTCAGTTCAAATTGGGGCTCCAGCCTTGTGACCTTGAGAAGGTCATTTGCTCTTTCTGTGCCTCAGTTTTCTTGTTTGTAAACTGAGATGGGTATCATGTGCCTCATTAGACTGTTGGGAAGACAACATGTAAGGTGCTGAGGAAGCACACGGTAAATGTTACCTATGATTATTTAGAAACTTTGTCTTAAGAATAACATCTGCAAAAATGGATGCCAAGTTATTTTACTTAATCTCCTAAAGAGGACACTGATACTAGTTCACTGATTTAGCCACCCCAACATGTGCCTAAGAAGGCTTTAGCCCCCATCCCATAATCCCTCACGGACCCTCCCAGCAGCGCCACCATGAATAAACATCTGCGTAAAATCTGCACGCTTGCCAAGCATATACAGTTTCGAGAGACATCCTCTATCTCCCCCGTCAATCCAGTGCCATCCCAAGCCCTTCTTTTGAAAATCTGCCCTTTCTGGTGGTTTTAACCCCTGACACTGCAAATTCATAGCAACCCCTTGCCCTGTTGCAGCCCAGTGTTACAGTGTTGACCAACCCCAGACTGTAAGTCCTCACCGCTCCTAAACAGGATTTATAAAGAGTGACTCTGAGCAATATAGTAGAGTCAGTTTCATCTGAAGGAAAATATTCTTTTTACTAACATTTCTAAAGTTCTTCCTTAGTGCCTCAAACTGATTTAAAAGCTAATCAATGATAAAATTCCGGGTGCATTTAAAGACAAGGAATTGAGAAAGGAATCTGTCACATTCAACCACTTTTAATCAGGGAAGTGGCTGCTGTGAACTATTAACCCCTAAAGATTATTGATGCTTCTTTTTTTTAAGATGCTGTAGTTTTAGTTATTTGTCTTTGGCAGCCAGAGCATAGAAAATTTTCTTTTGCTTTTCACAAATTAATTCATTTCAGCCTGTGCATTTGTCAGACATTCCCAGAACATTCAGCCAATGTTTTGTTGATTAAAAGATTTTGCAAATGGGTGGAGAGGAAGGAATTTATAAGTCTCAAAATCAGAGAATGATTTACAAAGCAGACTACTACCTGGATCACTCAGTGCATCGTCGACACATAAATGAAGTATTAAGAGTTAGAAAGAGTGTCAGCACTGTGTCTTCAAACCTATGGATTAATTGGTTCAGTAACACTGGGAAAGTCTACCTCTTTCAGCAGAATTTCTAGAACTCACGAACAAGAATATGACCCAGGGAAAAAAAAACTACCTTTGTGTAGTTTTTCAAAGGGCTTTTGAAATACATCCTTTCTCCACAACAGTCTGGTGCTCCCACTCCTCTTTGTAAATTACATACCTTGTTTCCACGCTGAGTTCCTGCTACTCATTCCAGCTTTGATTTGCTCTTGACTGTTTTGTTTAATTTTTTCCCAGTGAATACATTGGGCCCTTTGCAGGGCGCATTCATTGTTTTAGGCACCATTCATTGTTTTAGGCACCATGCAATTTACTAAATGGTGTTCCAGTTATGTAAAATGCTCACAAAGACCCCCGAGGGAAAACAAAAGAATTAAGTAAACACCTATTGATCATCCTGTAGTTGGCGCTTTCTTATTTGATCAGTCAAGGGTTCAGTCTGAACTGGCCCATCTGATCTGTGATCTATAAAGCTACAGACATTTTTCTGGCTCTCTGGTGGTTTAAAAGGCTAGACAGTAGGAACAACTGCTTTAAACAAAGCCTCATTTTAAAAGAAGCCTGAGTACGGAATGGAATTCAAAGAATTTAGAGGGAGGGGAGGTGAAAGTGGTAAAAAGAAGGAAAAAAAAAGCACTGAGAAATTTAAGAGAGGGAAGCACATGGGAAGTAAAAGATACAGACCACCTGTCCTGTTGTGAGACACAAGACACCAGGATGCTACTTCAGCCAGGAGGTACTGAACACCTACTAAGTGCAGGGTTTGTAAAGAGGTAGGACTTAAGGACTATGGGGTGTCTCAGGAATGAAGCACAATTCTTAGGTCAAGAAGGAATGGTTTTTCCTGCCAGCCAAGAATCTTGATGTAGATATTAAATTCCAAAAGGCAATGAATAGATGACATTTTATTCAAATATGGGGAACAGAAAATCTTGTCCTGAGTAATTCATTTTGAAATCCCACATTAAAAATGTTGGTAACAAATTAGTACTCAAGATATGGTTGAGAAAATGTTTGTTTCAGAGAAGGTAACAGAGAAGGAGTCAGAAGCTCTGGGTTTCGCTCCTGCCGTTCCTCCCCCGTCACCTCCCCATTTCTTAAACAAAGTGCTGAATGCACCTCAGCCACTTTGTGTTTGTTTTTGACTATTTTGTCTTTTTCCTCCCACTCCTCACCACCCCCAGTTCATAAGAGGAAAGCCTGAGGGAAGGGAAGGCAATAGGAAATCTGAAGTCCTTTACATAGGAGGTGGTTCAGATGCTGGCCTAAAGAAAGAGTGGGAATTTAGAGGAAAGGATCATTGTAGAAACCTCTCGGAGATTTTGGTAGCTGACTGTATTTTGAGACCTAGGACTAGGGAACAGTTGAAGCTAACAGCAAGGTTTCTAGCATGGAGGCTGGAAGAAGGACGGCAATACAGGAGAAAATGGGGTAGTTGTGATGGGTGGCTGGTGGGGAAAGTCTGGCACCAAGAGCAGATAGAACAAGTTGCCCTTTGCAAAGTGCACGTAAGAGGCATGGTCTTAGAGTCCGTTAAAACTGTGGACTGGGGAACATCCAGAATCCTGGAAATACATGTGAAACAGACTGTTATAGCAGGAAACAAGGCTGGGTACTGCTAAAATGTGGCCTCTTGTGTGGATTAAAGGCTGTGTTTATTCATTTTTTATTGTACATCATACAGCCTAACTATTTATTAAGCACCTACTTGCTGTTTGAAGGGTACGTACCTCCCACCCCTGATAAAACAGCTAATGTGTCTTCAGGTTAAAATTCGGCCAAAAATGTCCCCCACGGGAATCTGATGAATGTGTTTATTGTGTCTTTAGGTTGCATTCTGGGTTATGGTTGAGAATATTTGGGATAGTTACATAGACCAATGTCACTGGTAATACAAATATGAATGAAAAATGTTATCATTATTTATTATTAATATTACATTCTTGTTATTGTTAACATTTATTGTGTATTTACTAATTTCCAGGAGCCATTTTGATTGTGTCGGCTCATTGAGTTTTGGTAAAAACCCTATGACGCAGGAGAGTACTATTTTTATCTTCCTCACATTAATGAGAATGTTGAGTCTCGGGGAGGTTAAGGCACCATCCAAAGGTCACACAGCCAATAAGAGACTCCAGGGACTCCAACCCAGTCAGTGTAATTTTAGAACTTTTGAAGATATGCCTGTATGAAAAAGGAATAAAGTATAATAAGTAATGGATCTACTACTTTTGCCATGTATAACTAGGAAGACTCTCAGATTGCACATGTTCCAGGTTACTGGAGGTCATTTTATCATTTCTATTTGGTCATAAAATAGTGTGACAGGTTAGAGAAGTAATGCTCTACTGGGGGAGATTTTACTCCCCAGGGACTTGAGCAGTGTGTGCAGACATTTGTGGTTGTCGTGACTGGGAGATGGGTGCGACTAGACTCTGGTGGTAAAAGCCAATGATGCTGCTGCCACCCTGTAGTGAATAGGACAGCCCCCACAACAAAGAATTATCCTAGCCACTTTGTCGATTGTGCCTAGGTTGAGGCCCTGGATTAGGGTAAAATTAAGCGAATCTTGACTGTGCAGTGAGAGAGTGGTGGCTGAGTCTTACTAACAACGTATTTTTCACCATGAAGAAGCACATTTGGGAAAGAGTGAAGAGATAATTCATTCATTTGTTTATGAATAGAATTGCTATTTACAGAGTGATTTCTTTTTTAAACTTGATTTGAGAGAGAAAAAGAGAGAGAGACAGAGACGTTGATTTGTTGTCCTATGTATGCACTCACTGGTTGATTCTTATAAGAGTGTTTGCCCTGGCCAGGTTATATCAGGGATTGTGCTGGAGAGTAATGCTGAGGAAACAATATAAAGAAGTTGCTTTGGAGAACAGGAGGAAACAAGAAGTAGAAGTGAACCAAAGATGATTGGCTATTAAAGGGGTGCTAGGCAGAGCTTTGATGTCAAGAGGGAACTTTGTTTTTTTGATAGAGAGGAAGATGATATGCTACTTTATGGGTCTAAGCAAAATCACAGTGGACACAGTCAGAGGCCATAGGCTACTGTCAGGAGAACCCGGGAACTTGTCTTTGTCCCATTTATGGCAAATTTTGCTGTTCCAAATACAGGGCCAGAGAGGGGAGAAAGCATTAGATATGTTCTCAGAAGTGCACAGAATAGTGATGTATAGAAGTGTGTGCATGTGTGGATTGGAGAGGCCGAGACATTTGCATTGCTTTCGAGGTGCTCTGCTGGCCTGGGACTAGGTGCTGGCTTTGTTTTTCCAGTAACAGCCTTTTCTGTTTCCAGCAGTCCTATGCACCAGCTCCCCACCCCATGGCTCCTCCCAGCCCCAGCACAAACAGCAGCAGCAACAACAGCAGCAACAACAGCAGCGGGGAACAGTTGAGTAAAACCAACCTGTACATTCGAGGCCTTCCACCAGGCACCACTGACCAGGACCTAATCAAGCTGTGCCAACCGTAAGTGCCCTTCTGCTCTCTGCGCCGTTTCTCACCCACAAGCTCACCCACCTGGGCTCAGACCACACAGCGCTTGGTTCTTGCTCCCAATACACTCATTCATTGGGGTCTCAGTGAGGAAGACTCTGTTGTGTGAATGGGATTCAAATTTGAGTTCTAAGTCCAGCTTACTTTAGGTAATAAAATGTGTTTACTTCATGGTGGGGAAGTGGAGGTTCTTGAGCAGGTATACATGGGCATTCTGGCTGAGATGCAGGTATTAACCAGAAAGATGATGGGCAAACATCGTGTTGAGGCCTCACACCTTATGGCTGATGGAATCACTGATGAATCTCATAAGAAAAGCTACTTTTCTCCCCTGAAATATTAGTGCGAGAAATCACGAAAACTCAGAAAATGTGGCAGATTTCAGGATGGTTATCTCCTGTGTTGCAAAGATTTCCCGGCAAGTTCTTGGTAAATATAAGTTTGTTGGGAACCAGGTAATTGGAGAATTCTAAGGCAAATTCTCTAGTTGCCTTGAAAATATCTACTTCCAAGTTCAGTAAAGCCATTTTCCATCGAGGCCAAGAACTGCTAAGTAGCTTCATATTTTCTAGGGAATATGGGAGTGATTAAATGCCCTTCCAAAGTAGTTTCATTTTTCTCTTATCTACCAACACATATTATTAACTCTCTCATTTCTGTGAACATAAATTAAACGTATTTAAAAAGGTGAAAGATTTATATGATCTGAAGAAAAACCGGGGTATAAATTAAACACATTTAAGTTTACCCTCCAAATATAATTAATAATGTATAATAAATTAAGGATCATAGATTTGTATTTTTGGATTGTTGCCTGATGATTTTCAAATATCAGCCCAGCTATTTGTTATTCGATTGTGCCTTAGCTGGGTATTTTTAAATTAGGGGAAAATATTACTCAAGTTTTCTTTTTCTCTTTTGCAATGCTTTTACAAGAAGGTTGAGAGGATATTTATTTTGTAAATTTTCCAACCTCTAAAATATTGGAAGAGGAAAACAAAGCAGACAGTATTTATTTGCCTTTGTTCTGGTTTTTAAGATCGGGAACAAACATCAAAACAACAGGAAGTGGCAGATAAACCAAAACACAAATACGTAACTATATAACCAGTTGACTAGGCAGTAAGTGGATTAGGGTGGGGACACTTTGGAAAAAAATTATTTAGAAGCAGTTTTGAAAACAAAATAAAGGACAAAAAGGTGCCATGGCTAAGATGCGAATATGTTAGGTTTTGGTCTATAAAATGTTGAGGTTGAGAATTACAAGGTAAATCACTCACTTTTTTTTGTTGTTGTGGTTCTTGCTGTTAGAAAAATCGAAACCATTTTTAAAAATAAGGTCTTGGAAAATGGGAAAGATTGCAGACTTTTATGTTAGAAGCTTCAAACGAAGTATCTCCTATAATGAAATCTGATGTGAAAAAGAAGGGTAGCTATTAACTTTGTTTTGTATGTGAATCTCATTCATAAAAAAATGCTAGATGGTACAGAAAGATTGTTTCCCATTGCTCTGTACTAGTCAGAGCACTCGTTGCAACACAGATTTCTGGGGCCCAAGACATTATGATTCACTCAGCCTTGGGAGGAAACCAAGCATACCCATTTCTCACAGGCTCCATGGGGTTGTTGATATTGGTGGATTTGGTGCATGTCTCTCTACAATAATATGAAAATCACTGACTATTTCTTATGCATAAAATTTCACTTTAATATGTGAAGGTTGTTGAGTTTGACTTCTGTGTATTATAACCTATACAGCTACCATATGATCTTAAGGCAGATTACTGAACCTCAGTACCCTCTTATAAGAGGTTATCTGTAGCCCTGGCTGGTGTAGCTCAGTGGATTGAGCATGGGCCTGTGAGCCAAAGGTTGCTGGTTTGATTCCCAGTCAGGGCACATGCCTAGGTTGTGGGCCAAATCCCCAATGGGGGCTGTATGAGAAGCAGCTGCACATTGATGTTTCTCTCCTTTTCTTTCTCCTTCTCTTCCCCTGTCTCTGAAAAATAAATAAATAAAATCTTAAAAAAATAAGAGGTTACCTGTAGTATCAGCGGTGCCTCTGATTAGTGCACTAGAGCCAACTGTTAAATATTCTGGAATTCTATGAATAATTTGTTACAAACTCAGTATCTTGAAGTTGGCCATGGTGGGAGTATTTATGTCACAGGAATAAGGGAGCCCTACAAATCAGAGCTTTAAAAATTTTTTTTCTCTTTCTTTTTCTTAGAGAGAGCAAGTTGATAAACATAACACTGATAGAGCATTATACTATAAAATTCTGTATCAATGTCTATTTCTGCAAAAAAATGTTGCCAGAAATATATAAATGAAAATTATTACCTAAAAGCCTGTATTGGCATTTTAATTTAGGAAAGAGATTTAATGATGTAGAAATACTATTTTGGAGAAATGAAGTTTTGTTAATGTTTCTTACGTGTGTTGTAGAAATTGAAAGAACACTAAGTGCACAGAGGGTAATGGTTACCTGTTCATATTAATTTTTGGTAGCTAATAAAATGTGGCCCGTGCTATTGTTATTATAAAAATATTTGTTGGTTCTCCAGCTACTGATGTGGTCTAGACCTGGGGTTTATTGCTTAGACTTGTTTCCCTATAGAATCTTACAGAACTAACATGATCAGGCAATGGGAATGTAGTAGAAATAGTTGTGTACCAAGATCTTGGTTTCATTCCTGGCTGTGCCATCAGCTAGGTAGTGGTCATAGACAAACAATCTGTCCCTTCTTAACTTTGGTTTCTACCATGTGTAAAATAGTCTATGGGAACTTGATAATCTTTTAAACTTCTTTTATCCTAAAATTCTGATATTTTACTGAGGACCTCATTAGTCAGTAATAACACCTGGTCTGGGCCACCTTTTATATCTTTCAGCAGGTCCCTAGTGAAGAGTTGTCGGGGCTACGACCTACACAGATACAGCTGCATGAATATGACTTGATGGCTAGGGATGCCTGTGGCACGAGACCAGTGCAGGTCACGTGTAAACTCCTGTTTTGTCTCAGGTAGTGTTGGTCTCTCACATTGCTCATCACTACTTTACATTAGCAGTCTTCCGAAGATGCAGATCATTCTGCATTTCCATCACTGATCCAACACTTTAGTTTCATCTACAAAACGGATATTTGTTGGTTTAAATGAACTTGCTCTCAGGATCAATTTTCCATGTTTATTTCTATGAAATTATAAGTATTTTAGAGTTAATATTATCTTTATAATATAGAAAATGCAATACTTGCTTATAACCGCAGTAATAAAATGATAGAAAATAGAGATACACAAAAAGGGCATATAGATATATCAAATTATCTGGAATTTAAATGCAATATCCATATTAATGCCAATGAATGGCAAGAGAATGATATTAAAGGAAAGCAATTGCATTATTTCACAATGAATAACCTGCGAGCAAATTGCTAGGTGTTCTATTCACATTCATCACCAAAGCCCCTACGTTTGAATTGCAAATAAAGTAAAAGAAATGAAGACAAGACTGCAAAAATAATAGACACGACGAATGACTGCACTCCATGGAAAATCTCTAGATATACCTATGTTTTGAATGAATACATTACATTGTGTGTCTTGTAGGAAATATCTTGTAATGTCTTCATCTTGAGAATTCTCAAGGACCTTTATTGTGTTTTCAACTAAGAAATATTTGCAGAGCACTTCTGTTGCATGCCAGATACTGGCCTCGTTTTAGCAGAGCTTATACTTCCCTAGACAAAAGAGCATCAATTAAATAATCATATGATTTGATATAAAATTGAAACTATACATGCAATAAGTGAGCATGGAACTAAGAGTCCTTGTAACATGAGATTATACCTGGATAGGGTCATGAGCAAAGGTATCTTTGAGGAAGTGACAGTTGAGCTAAGATCAGAAGGAGGAATTGGTTTGACTAAGTAAAGAAGGAAGGGAAGGACCTTCCAGGCAGAAGGAACTTCATGTGTGTAGATCCAGTGGCTGGCGGGAGCGTAGCAAAGATGAAAGGGTTGTAAGTAAAGCCAATGCGGTTATAGCAGAGAGACACTGTTGGAGTATGGGGCGATATAAGCTGGAAACATGGAGAGGAATAAGGTGATGATCTCTCTGTGTATCACGTGAGGAGCTTTTTTAAATTCTAAGAGCAGTGGAGGAAATCACTGAATTGTTACAAACAGGAAGGTAACATAGAATTTGTTTCAAAAAGATAGCTCCAGTGGCAGAATGGAAAGCGAGGATCCCGTGAGTGAAATCAAGGAACAGTCGGAGTAAGGAAGAGCTGAAAAGTGATCTAGAAGAAGAAGAATTTATGGTCAGGGAATCAAGCATGAGAATTAATAATTATGGTGGTGGAAAAATGAAGTGTGGTGACAGATGTCTTCTTTCATAGGCATTTATTTTTGTATTAAGGAGCAATGAATTGAGAGGCAATTAGCCAAATGAACTCCCAAAGAAACAGTGAAGTAGCACAAAACAGGGCCCAAATCACTGATTTTAGTCTCTTTTTCTTACCCAGTCACAAGTGTGTCATCAATATACTATTAAACATTCAACGTCTGCCATATTAAAAGCACTAAAGGCAAATGCAGTGGACCCCTGAGCAACATGGGGATTAAGGACACTATCCCCTATGTAGTCCAATATCCGCATATAACTTGGACTCCCCCCAAACATAACTACTAATAGCCAACTGTTGACCAGAAGCCTTACCAATCACATAAACAGTTGATTAACACATATTTTGTGTGTTATATGCATTATACACTTTATTCTTACCATTAAGTAAGCTAGAGAGTAGAAAATGTTACTAAGAAAATCATAAAGACAGAGAAATACTTTTATAGTACTCTACTGTATCTATCAATATTATAAGCTTGTCATCTGTTTACAAGATAAATTATGTCTATGTCAATATTGTCATATATGATAACAAGACACTGTAGATATTACATGTGTAACTA